CCGCGCTCTGGCTTTGTGTCATCTCCCATGGCACTCTGGAGAAGCTTCTTTCTGCGGGTCGGTTTCCTGTGGCAAACAACAACGAGACATCAGGAAGGGGAGAAGGTAACTTTGTAAAGCGTAGATCTGATCTCTGGGCCGAAATTAAGTTAACTCCGTACCGTGAGCCGGTCTGTCTTATGGTATTATAGCAGTAGCCTTGCTGTTGTATGATCGGACCTTTCATGTGGTTGCTACAGGACTTTATCTGCCTGATCATACAAGAAGTGTTGTGTGGTGTGTACAACGGTCCGGTGTACTAGTTACTGGGGCGTGAAGGACGGAAGTTATCTCTGGAATTTTCAGTGTCCACGAACAAATCGTAAGAAGGAAAAGCTCTTTGAAGCTTAGACCAGGGGACTGAAATTGTTATATGTGGATGTCGTAAAAACCGACTCGGGCAGGGAATTATTTCAAAACAATTGTAAATTTACACAACGTGTAGTCTAAACGAGCTAAATTTCTATTCTGTATTCGAGAGATACCCGGTTCTAACCTGTGCTGGAGAACTTGTCCTGGCTGAGATATTCGTGGTTTTCCTCTCTAGATTTGCGTAGGTTGTGAACATTTCTGTCACTACAATTCACAATATATCTACTCTTCCGAAAAAGTATTTTTGACCGAAAGTTGCTAAAATTAACTGGGGTAGCTCAGTCTGTCTTCGGGCTGGACGACCGCAGTTCGATCCCCGACGGGGACAGGATTTTTTCCTCTAGCCTCTGCGTCCAGACCTGTTCTGGGGCCGACCCAACCTCCTATCCAATGGGTACCGAGGGGTCCTTCCTGGGAGTAAAACGCGGCCGGGGCGTGATGCTTACCACTCACCCCCACCTAGTGCCAAGGTGAAGAATGAGTAGGAACTTCCCCCCCCAGGCGCCTACATGGCGTATAGTGGATAGTTTTTGTTTGTTTGTTCTTTTTCTTCTCAATTATTAATTTATAGGCCTATTATAATTTCTCATTTGACGCTTTACAAATTACTCAGTTCACAAAACCCCATTAATAGAGCAATAACAAATTGTTTTTTTCTTAGTTTTCATTCGAACTGCATGTCCAGACAATCGTTGTCTTCTTTATTTTACTCCTCAATAAAATGTATGAAATGTAAAATAACGTAATTTCCTCTGCTCTAGACACCCGTGTGCTTGAAATCCTGTCTAGCACAGAGCGAGAGCTTACGAAAACAATTTTATATTTTATGCACATTACTGAATTTGTTCCGAGTCTCTGACTCCAGCACACGTGGGTCCAACACAAGACTCGGCCTGCCCGTAACTATAATCGGGTTCCAGGAATAGCCTTCGAAGACGAAAGACAAACTGCACACGTGTCGGGGACTGAAAACCATTGAAAATCAAACACGCGTCTCTAATACTGCATGTATAGTAAATATATAAATGGGCATCTGGATTTCAATTCGTAATCTCAGTGAAAACGAGTAGCAGTGTGTTCCCCTTTTCCAAGAAACTGACAAAGAAAACAGGACTGTAAAATGCTATCCATACCGGAGTATATAGTTCCCATAAACGTTCTGGTAGGAGTTTGCCGACATGTCATAGGTGCTTGCTGCCTCCATTATCAGGGCTATTGTTTTTTTTTACGACGTAACATCGGAGAACATAGTCATCTTACTATTGCTTCCATATAAGGGAAATGATCTAGATAGGCTGTCTTGATAGATGATCTAGCTTGGTTATTTGCTTTTAGTTTAATTTCTGCTATTATTTTGTTCCTTGTATTTCTTTAGCGTTTTAAATTTATATTAGTGTTTCCCTAGGTGGATTATTTACTTTTATTTATACTTTTCTTTGTGTATAATATTGTTTTTTATTTTGTGTTTGCCCGTATTTGGCTGTTATATTTAATATTGTACATGTATATGTTTCGTTAATCTGTTTGTGTAATATTTTTCATTATTATTTGTATATATTATCAATGTTTGCCTGTTATTGGCTTCTTGCTGTTGGCAAACACTTAAATAAACGAATTGAATTGAATATCGATACTAATTTTAACGTTCTTGGCTTTACGGTTCATTGTTTATTTCTCTCAAACTTATAGTCAGCTCTGACTCTGGATAGTTAAATTGCGTCAAAGTTTTTATTTGACAAGAAACTCGTGTGGTATCACCGCTGTAGTTATTTATCTACAGGATGGCATTGGATTTCGTGTGCTGGGTGTTACACCGGAGTGCTGTCTCCTGAATAGCGCCCTGTATCATGTACAGTGTGTTTACTAATAAAGTTGAACGCAACTGTCACTTCCCGGATGGAACTTCATGACTCGCCGCCAAACGCTACAAGGTTTGCCCGATATGAGTGAAGTATAGCTCCGTAAAAACGATAATAATCAGTTCCTGCTTGAAATGACAGTTGCATTAAACTTTATCAGTGAGCGCAATGTAGTATGTTTATTCTCGAACTTGCATAAAAAATAAAAAAAAGATCGCGCATTCCAGTGTTAAAAACGAAACATCGCTTTTGATAGTTAATTGTGTAGTAAGTGATTTGTTATTTGAACTCAGATCGTATCTGAACATAGAGTTGCGTACCTCCAGGAGCAATTGGTGATGCTTAGGAAAATTGAATTTTTACGTAAGTATAGTTACTTGAAAGTTGCATTTGACAGGACTGTTAATACACTGCATATCTGAGGAGAAATTGACAGTAGCCCTACAGAAACGTCTAAATGATTTACATCTGTTTCAGAAACATTTTGGCATTTGAGAACCGGTGTGGAAAATATGACAAAGGGGCCGAATTCTGACAGTTTGGCTAAATGAACTAAATGTGCGTATTTGATTCCGAAACTGATGTCTTCTTTATGTATCGTAATTACTATTTTAGAATAGTTTAAAACTTAATTTTCATAGGCGACGGGGTGCTAAAGACGCTTTGTCCGTGAACAGAATCTACTGGAATTTACAGTTGACAAATCTAATCCTTAGTTGTCAAGATTTTCACATGTGTTGTAAGCCTTGTTACCATGGCGCTTTGGAATTGGGTTGCTTTTACCTGCTATGTTAACAGTAGATAAAATGGTGAAATAAATTTTAAATACCAGCAGGCCATGTGGTCAATATGTATACTCCAGTTTCATTATTACAGCCTAATTTTAATATAGTAAAAATTAAGGCAAAGACACCCAGATTTAGACATAGGAGTCTTTTGTTTGCGGTTTTGTACATATGCCGCTTTCATTCTTAATTACACCCCTTATTTACAAGTTGCAGCCACTGGTGTATGCGTTTCTTTTCCTGAAAGATATCTGTAAAATAGCAAGGAAACTGACAAATTACAAGAATTAAGCTCTGCTTTTTCAGTCTCAGAAATTTGTTTTTTTAACAAGAATTTGAGGAAGTGTTTGTTGTTAACCGTATTCCTTCCACCGCTTCTGATTAGCCTCCACAAATCTCAATTCCTCGTAACTTAAGTCCAAATTCCTTTTGTGCGTTCCAATTTTATGTGTGTAATTCAAATTACACCTTTAACCAAGTCCATGGTCCAGAGTCCTTCAGAAGCTGATAGTCGCTCAGATAGTCAAGACGTTCCCCGACGTTTAGTAATTTTGGAAGGTCATTACAGTGTTCACAAGAGCTAGACTGAACATTTGTATGCATTTATTATCTCCCTTATCCGTGCTGCCTGTCCAGTCCATATGATCTTCCTTGATTTGCAGATTTGAACAAAGTAATATTATTTGGTGGAGAATAATTTGATTGAGAAAATGGGTAAGGGATCTAACAAAACTCAGTGTGAAGTGAGTAACATGGTACGAATTATTATTAATGTGGGCTCATTATTTACTGCAATATTTGACCTAAATGTATTTCTAGGTGTCAATAGATTGCTTCGCGTTCAGATCATGAATTAGACCAAACCTGATTATCCAGCAACCGCTCGCAGACGTAAGCCCTTTGTCGTTGAGTTTATGGAAGAAGGTACTTTTCGATTTACGTATTTTACGTGTTTTTTAAAGAAACAACATTACAAACTCTAGGTTGAAAAACCTTGAAAGTAACTTGTCATTATCATCCAATCTATAGTCCTACAGATAAATTTGTTTATCTCTGTATGCCATTACACTAACAAGGCATGATTTATGAAATCGTAGTTTGTAAAATATCCAACAGAGCGCCAAATACGTTGAAATAACACACGGTATTTATCGTTATACTAATTCGGTGAAATTAAATGGTAAAATCATTCAACATGGAAACGCCATATGGACTCACAACTGATCGGAACTTCACGCTTTGGCAACCTCGCCGCTTCAAACTCAGAGGCAGCAGCGCAGTCGAGAGCAGTGTATTCTCCGTGGGCCATCGCTTTGCATAGCTTGGTCATATGAAAACATGAAGAAAGACTGCATTCATAGACGACATTCCTTCCAGAGGAGTCTTTCTCTCAAGATACATCAAGTGACAGCCGGTCTCGAACGTGAAAGAAAAGTCTGTATGTGCATCAGCGAATGGTTCAACTCATATACAACATCCTTCTCGGCAGCTGCTAGCAGTGAGAGACCCCATCAGAAACTGGTCTGCCAAGCAAGCCACCACGTCACAAACATGCGGTATCAGTAAGCAAGGATGCGAGCCGCTAGCCGCCAGTAGAAACATTCCAGCCACTCGACCTAGTCGGACATGTAACGATAACCGAAAATTAGCGTCGATCTATTTATTGTGGATTAAAAACATGTTTAGTGCAGTGATGGGTGTTCGTGTTTCGAAATGTGTGACAAGCTACGAATTGTTTTACCAGAAATTATCAGTTCAATGAGAAGATGATATGCAGATTAGTGATTTTAAAAGTTTGTGTACATACATACACAAGGCATACGTGTCTTGAATATCAGAAGTGCATTAAAATTTGTTGCAACCAAGTAGGCCATAATTATAAATGGCCTTCTAGAAAGTGTAACGGCGACACGAAATTCGTAGGTGACCTTATTAACTAACACAAGTACATGAAACGAGTTCTGACAAGAAGTGGTTTAATTTATTTATTTTTACCAGGTTTTTGTGTCTTGTATTCGACGTTCCTAACCTCTCTTTTAAAATCAGTAATTCGTAATCACTCCAGTAAAGTAGACCTACTAGTAACGTAAGTAAAACACAATTTTGTCTGTTATGAATATATTTACAGGTTAGCTGCACCATGCCAAATTTGTACATATGAAAAGGTGCAAGTTTCAAAACCCACGTCTTTGGTGACGAAGCATTTTTCTGTGTGCTGGATGTCATTTTGAGTCAGTTAGAGCTTTCCCTCGGTAATAATTCTATGCAATGTGTGCTAAATAAAGCCAGTGAGGTTGTGGTGAGTGTAACAAGTCAACAACATTGGCAAACAACCCCCCCCCCCCCCCCCCCCCAAGCATCATCTGTTAATGAGTCTTGCATCAAAGGGCAGCCACCAACATAGTGAACTACTTGCATCAACGCGGATCGATACAAAATTACATTGCGTGTGTGTGTGTGTGTGTGTGTGGGGCGATATTCGTAAATTTACTCAGACAAACGTTTGAGCCCATAAATATTTTTGGACAGTCACAGTTTGTATTTGGTATGCCCACATAAATTTTATTTGGTTTTAGGTAGTGAAAAGGAGTGATTTTCAACTGTTACAATTTGATGCACTTAATGTTTATTCATTGAACGTCTTATTCTGAACCTTCGAGTATTATAAATCTAATTTAATTTTCGATATCATACGTGTGGACAATTGAAGTCAGCGGCTTTCGTCTGGATGTTTGTGTATCGGAGATACCATATTTGTGTAACATCGTACTCCATAATTACCAACTGCTTGTTTCTTAGTGAAGTGAAAATATCAATACCTCCTCCAGTGTTATACAGCGCCATATTAGAATCTGTACAAAAGTCACTGCTGTTGCATGAAGTGTGTGATGTGTTTTGATACGGGAGTGTTTGCATGGACGTGGTAGTACTACGCGATGGGCCGACTCAGCGGCCCACACAAGAGTTCTTCGACCAGCGCGGCCCGACCCATGTTTCGTGTCCACTACCGGAAGCTTGTGGACGACTGCGGAGAGAACAAGGATTCACTGAGCTTCGTTCCGCCTTTGCCCGACTACCTGTCTTACTGCTGTTGTCGGTGTGGCCACACGCAGAAACTCAAGGTACGACAGCCCTGCCCCTATTGGTGACATTATGAACAAGTTCCCTCTGATAGGGACCTGTTCATTTGTTTAATTGGCAAATGATCCAGAAGTGGTTTGCCGTTGCCTTCTTCTGTGTGTGAATGGAGTAATTGTTGGGATGCCCCGGGGGGAAATTCCGTGATACCTGGACCACCGGGAATCGGACCCGGGACCTCAGAATTACAAGCCAGCGTTCTGACCGCTAGACTATTGGAACAGCGGCACAGTCATGTATCGTGCATATGACAGTCTCCTGGGATGTTGCGCCCCATAGTTTAGTAGAATTATACCAATGTTTTAGCAAGTATATTTGAGACGTCAGAAAACTACCAGACTACAATTAGAGCCCGTGTATACATTATTAACATTCGAATAATAAATCGGGATTATGAGCCAGGAAATAGCCAAAATTCACCTAGAGGGATCGAGGAAAAAGCAGCAGAGATCTCTGTCTGGACAAATGGCGATGGATTTCTATCAGGATTCCTTTATAAAATTATCGGAATACCTCAGCTTTGCGGAAGCCCTGATTTTGCCATGTGCCGGCCGTGTACCACTGGAAACTTTCAGCTCTGCCCCTACCACTTATGCGTCCCTCACAGTCAGTAAAATTCCTTGGCATTTGAAGAATGTTAGCAAGTCACGTGGAACTAAAGGCTCAGATAGAACAAGTTCCAAGCACTCCTATAATAGGAGAACACTGAAGAGGGTTAATGAAACCAACAAACCATGATCCGAAATTGTAACAAATAAATTTAACTCTCTCTAAATAGCCTTAATTTGTTATAAATCGAATGCTGACGAGAATCGACACACACGCACAGATGCTTACTGCACCATCATTTAGGGTGATCGCCCTGAGAGGCGATCACATTTCTGAACAGTCGATATATTTCTACGAGACGACACGGTGCAACATCCTAGAACACAGTCATCTTTGAAAAAGTATGTTATTTGCTGAAAAAGGCAGACAGAACTTGTATCTTGTTTTATTTGAGATCTCTCTGAGAAGGAAGCGTTAAGAATGTGCATTTCATGACCTTTTTCCGTTCGGTTCTTTTTTTGAAAGGAAAAGAAAGTGTCATTAAGTAACATTGACGAAGGCCTCGTATCATAATTTGTTACCCTTTTTTTCAACCTGTAACTGCATGCCAGACAACCCGAGCGCTTTCTTTTATTTTTGATATTACACCGTGATTAAAGCCGAAGGAGAAAACTGGACAAGCAAAAGATTGAGCTAAGTAAGGATAGTCTAAAAACAGGAATATGTTAGATAATTGCTTCATGAGATTTAAAACTGTCGTCGTAACATCTAACGGAAGAGACGAAGGTGCATTGTACCCCAGAGCGAGAAAAACGAACGGGAAATGTTGACTTCATACGGATGGAACCGTTTCAATTTAAAGCCCATACGTTGTGTGATATTTTTCAAACGTTAAATAAGCTATGGTGTCGAGATCAAGAATACAGGGAATTTTTACTTCCATGCTCCTAAATCCGTCATGGAATGGTACTTAGGCATAAAAATAACATTACTTTGTAGGCCTACATATGCGAATTCTTTCTGTATAGCTGTGAAATTTGATTTCTCGCCTTACGAGAAAGTAGATTGAGTGTGTTTGAAAACAGAATGCTGAGGAGGTATTTTGCGGTGTGTCTTTGAGATAAATAAATATGAGGCTCGAGAAAGTTATAGGGTGGACCAAAAATGCCATAAATATTATAAACATGAAGTTTGTAAATATTTGACGTACAGTGACGAAACCAACTACATGTTTTCCACTATATCAAATGTGTTCTCTCTCTCCATAGTCACTAAAGAAAATGTGTACTGTAATGTACGATTAAGTGACTGGGCCCTTATTTTCTAACAGTAACAAGTAGCCTTTTTGGATACGCTGGAAATATACGTTATGTTTTAAATTCAATAAGATGCTACCCCATTTTCCAACCACACTTTACATCCCCACAATTCGGGCACATTCTTCGTGAAAACTTGAACAGAAAACTTCATGGTAGACAGTATTAAATGACTAGGACTGGTTGCTCGTGCTGAATTTAGAACATTAACAAAAACCACATGCGATTTTCGAAGTACACTCTTCATCTGCAAACCGAACTCCCAAGCATACCGTCGTCAACAAAAGAAAGGCGTGGTTTATTTTCCAGGTGTTTGTAACGCGTTACCATGGCGTAACAGGAACTCTTTCTCACGGCTGTCTTACCTTGTCGCCTTTTTATCACGTCATTCCACTTCCTGTGCACTTGGCTCCCTCCCGGCCCAGGACGTTGCAGCGAAAAATGGAACCTTACATGCAGTTACCACGTTAACTTTGTGAGAAAATCCTCATTCTTCCGAGCTAACCGTATCATTCTCATCAAACTGTCCTCCACAACAACAATTAACGTCAGAGGAGCGCATTGAATTTATCTCCTTTATCCAACAATAACAGATAACAAGCCTGCCATCTGTAAAGCTTGGTAGTAGTTACAAATCATTTTGCAGACAACTGAATGACAAGTCGTAATAGGAAAGTAATCTCTCACCGGGAAAATAAAACAAGAAATCACACGGTTGTCTTGACTGTGAACAAGTAGAGTCCGTATAAATTCACAGGTCTTCTCTTTTTATGCCTATTAAAGTCACTCCTTCTGTCCGTCTGTCCGTGGGTGTGTGACAGTTCGAGAATCGCAGAATGCATTGTCATTCAATTTGATATTGAAGAGTTTTCCAAAAAAATTTGGTCGATTCATTCCAATTGTGATTAATATCGGACGACAGCAACGGAACTTGCGAAACCACGTGTTTGTCTGTGCATCTGCCGCGTAACTAAATGTTAATCGGAACAGACGTATAAAAAATTAAACACGCATTTTGTGTTCAACAATCTTTTCCATGAGTCTTGCGGTGTTGTAAATAACAGAACAAAAGTGATTTTATGTTGTTTTATAGTTCTAGAACTTGTACGAACTAAATTTGATCAAATTAATCACACATATTGAAGGCCCGCATGTTATGCGCTGTTTATGACAATGTATCAAAAGCTACGATTCACAAATTGAACATCTCGAAGCAATAATGGAGCTAACACTCCAGAATTATTAGGCTGTGTTTACATTTTCTGATTTGTTTTGGATACTGAATCAACGCAATTTCAACGCTGTTGCGGAAATCACGGTTAAGCCACTGTACACCACTTTTCAGGTGAATGAATAATTGTAGATGTCTCTGCAGTAGTGTACCTAATTCGTTTACTGTGTCATTGAATGGTCTTTTCTATGTATCGTACTGGCAGTGATGTTACTTAATTGCTGGTAAATATATTGTTGCAAAACATCTCAAAGAAATAATCGTTCTTAAAGGGTTAAAATTAAAAGTTAACATTTTTTTTAACTTTTGCTGTTTCGAGTAACATTGGCATTACTGTAACTCAGGAAATATCACACGTAACTGATTCCGATACACGTTGTTTCACATTTCCTATCATTCTATTTCATATGATATGAGACATGACAAGGTTTGGGAAATAACATTTGAAGTACTAAGGTGAGGTTTACACTTTTAGGTATGCACAGATAAAAGTGTTTTAATGTTCCTGTTCTCAAATAATATGGCTTGCCTTGTTATGCTCAGCGACCATATACAATTAAAAATGAATATTATAATTTCTTTATCCATTAATTTCATATGGTAACTTTCTACTTCCCTCTACTTCCGTCTGATTTCTAAGAACCTGAATATTAAAATATATAAAATAATAATTTTGCCTGTTGTTTTGTATGGGTGCGAAACCTGGTCTCTCACTCTGAGGGATGAACGCAGATTGCAGGTGTTTGAGAATAGGGTGTTAAGGAGGATATTTGGGCCTAAGAGGGAAGACGATGGGACGTGGAGAAAACTGCATAATGATGAGCTTAAAAATTTGTACTCCTCCACCAGTGTTGTCAGGGTGATTAAGTCGAGAAGGATGAGATGGTTTGGGCATGTAGTGCGCATGGATGGGACAAGAGGTGTGCACCGGGTATTGGTTGGGAAGCCTGAGGGGAAGAGACCGCTGGGGAGACCTAGACGTAGATGGGAGGATAATGTCAGGCGGGATCTATGGGTGATAGGAGTTGAAGGAGACTGGATTTTGTTGGCCCAGGACAGGGTCCAGTGGAGGGCTTTGGTTAGTTCGGTGATGAACCTTCAGGTTCCGTAAGCCATCTATTTAGTTATTAATTTCGTATTTTCATACTAACTCCCATCCAGTTATTTTGGAAGTAATGACGTTCAGTTCAGTTCAGTTGAATATTCCTAGAACTCCAGGTCATTTCTCCTAGCCAGATGTAATATAATTGAACGTAAAAAAAATTATTTATTGCACTGTGTGAGATTGTATCAATATTTTAAATTCTCAAGTGCATTTTTTCATACTGTCGAATGCTGTTTTATAAAGTACTTAATCTTTATTCGATTGAATGGATTCCAGAAGCTAATCTTTTTGCAGCTTTTGCGTTCCTGGTAAGTCGCCTTCGTTTTCAGTTCGTCGTTCTTCATCACCAGCGTTCCTGGAAGTTAAAATGCTGTATCGTTTATTGACTTTGAGGACAGTAAGACGCTTTGTTCTTAAAAGAAATTATGTTCGTTTTTGAACGAGCTCTGACTCTGGAATGTGGCGCCATCTCAAATGACTTCTGTTGGAATGAGATGGCAATTTTTCTTACTGCATCTTGTGTTCTTCTCTTAGTGTCACTGACCTTAAATAACTCTTGTGCCTCCGTCTCTGTAGTAACGAGCATATTGTCGCAAATGGCTGTAAGATGTTAATTTATTTGCTCTTTTGAAATGAGTACGCAACAGTTTTGTCCTGCCATAACTTGCTACCTTTTGTCAGTATAGAAAGATGGGGTTTTGTATGATGCAGAATACTGAAGTTTGTTCGGAATCATTACCTATAACGGATGTTTTTCTTATATAATATCAAATCTAAAAGTTC